TACGATTAGAAAAATTAACCCACAGGTATAAAACACATTTGTTGTCTTGTGTAAACAAAATAATTTATTTGTGATCTCGTTACTTTTGTTGTACCGTATTTCCGCACTATAAGGCGCACCGGATTATAAGGCGCATAAATAGAACGTGTTTACAACTGAACAAGGCTGGGAGATTGTGAATATATAAATATAAATACGTATAAAACGTAACGTATAAAACTACAAAAACAAAAGTACATAAGACGACTTCCCCAAATAATAAATTATTTCTTTGACGTTTCTCTTAACTCTCAAAACGTAGTTTTATACGTAGTGCATTCACAATAACTCAACGTTGTTCAAACGTTAATGTGCATATTCACAATATCTCCCAGCCTTGTTCAGTGTAAACATGTAAAAGAAACACAGTCTGATACCGCTAATTCAAACGTTAGTGCAGGGGTGCCCAAACAGTCGATCGCGATCGACAGGTAGATCGCTGACTGATTCTCAGTCGATCGCGAGATGTTTAGTCAATATAAAATACAATTGTAAAATAGAAAAGTGATTTCAATTTCATCTCATTGCACTGTTTCCCACACACGATACCTGTGTGGGAGCCCAAGTATACTTCCGACCTGTTTGTATTTAATTTTTCATTTATTCATGAAATTGCTGCGTGCATGAGAGAGCGAGCGAGAGAGCGAGCGAGAGAGCGCGGGGAGCGAGAGAGAGCAAGAGAAGAGAGAGAGTGCAGGCATGCGCAAGGACGTGCAGGTAAAACCGGGGGTCTAAATGTTTTACCAAAAAGTCATATATAGAAACTATGCTACGAGTATTAAGCGCATTTGATGAAGCTACAGCTACTTTTCTCTGCTCCTCTCTGCTGTCATGACTGTGAGCATCGCGGGGCACGAGACACACCAACAAACAGCGCACACGCACACTCACACACACACACGCACGCACGCGCACACACACACACACACACACACACACACACACACACACACACACACACACACACACACACACACACACTTGCACTGGAGCGCCAGCCACCACGCGAACCTTTTTACTTTTAGTGCTACAGCACACAGTTGATCCGTGATCTTTACGGACCGAGGCGTGAACACACGTGACCCGGTCAAACAGTCGGTTGGACTTTACTCTGTTCACTCTCACCGTGTCTGCAGCTAATTTAACAAAAGCAAAATCATCTCACAGCAGCCTGCTGTACTCTGTAGTCTGCATTATTTTTTACAGAACTCTCATTTATTATTTTCTGTTTGTTGTGTGAGTATTAAATGCGTTTGTAGGCTGTTGGTAAAGGCTATGGCTCACTATGTGGACTGGTAGATCTCGGCAGACTGGTAACTTTAAAAGTAGATCTTGGTTCAAAAAAGGTTGGGCACCCCTGCGTTAGTGCATAACTCAACATTGTTCAGTTACGTATAACACGTAAAGCTCACTTTTTCAGTTCATTCCCCGTCCACGAATCCCTCGAATTCTTCTTCTTCAGTGTCCGAATTGAACAGTTAGGCGAGTACGGCATCCAACATGCCCGGCTCCCTCTCGTCATTATCCGAGTCAGTGTCGCTGAGCGCCGTGTACAACCAGTATGGATCAACCAATTAACCAATTGATCCATATATAAGGCGCTCCGGATTGTAAGGCGCACTGTCGTTTTTTGAGAAAATTAAAGGCTTTTAAGTGCGCCTTATAGTGCGGAAAATACGGTAACTGTTGCTGGGGCAGTGATTGTATATCAAAACATAGGTGCCGCATAAGAAGGCTTACAGTAGAGGGTCAACAGAACTATATTAGCAGAGAACTTCTCTTTTTATCTGTGTTTGTCTGCAGAGCATGTGAATGTCATTAAACCCTTCTAACAGCTGGAGAAAAAAAAACATGAAGAAAAAGAGTAGTGTGTTCAAAACTTTGGACCTACATTTTGAGAATTTGTACGCATGATGTTCTATCAGACTTTTTTTTTTAAAAACAACATCCCATCCCAACATAAACCCCTTTATCCATTGCTGTGATTTCACTTTCATGAGACCATTCTCTGATGTGAGGTGAGTGACCTTAACCTTTGATCACACTATTGCTTTATCCTAGTGATTGTTTGTGCAAACTTTAAAGATATTTACTCCAGACACTCTAGTTAAAAACATGGGACATTCAACAAACAAATGGACAGAAAAGCCTAAACACATGTTGCCTCCATCCCCTGCTGATCAGCGTCACAGAAGCTTTATAAAACTAAAAAAAAGATAGAGGTTTAAAAATGTAGTCAAGGTTCTGTACACCTAATGTTTTATAGTCAAATAACACTATTTTTTTAAACTTACCTTTAGATACTGAGCTGCTTTCTGACAACTTTCCGACCAGATCAGTCTTGTTCATCATCTCTAAAATATTCTGAGTCACCTCCACACAGCGTTGGCCATAGATCTCCACCATCAGCTTCACTATCTCATCTTTGTCTGCGGTCTCCACTTGGTGTCTTGGGATTTTTGGGAGCCCTTCTTTCATTTTAGTGTAGAGCAAGACATGTTTGAATTTCTCCAGGTCCCCTGAACCTAATTCTTCCAGTGTTTCTAAAAGCTGTGAATGGACCGGTGTCATGGTTGATTCCTGCTTCATCAAAAAAGTAAGTAAATATTGTTAATTAAATAGTTAGAAATGAAAACTGTAGAGTGTCTGATGTAACATTACTCACATGTTGTGGATCTTTTTGCTGAAGTTTCTCTAAGGGGGGAGAGAAAAGGACTCAATAAAATCAGACGAAAAGCAGCTTTAGTCAGTTTTAGTCATTTTGTGAATAAAATATAACATGGCACCATCTCAACATCTTAAAAATAAATAAAAAATGTACAACTTATGTGGGTTGGATGTGCGGTATTTGGCAAAAAGTTAAACTTAAATGTACTCATTATTAACGTCACAAAAACAAGGAGGCTTGATTCAGCTCAACAATGTCTGTAGTCGTAGTATTTAATGAAGCATATATATTTGTGTAATGTGTCAGTTTTCATCCTCTTACTCTCAGTGTTGAATCCTGAGCTGGTCCCTGAGAGCGTCTTTAGCAGATCAGTCTTGTTCATTCTCTGTAAAACGTCTTTGGTCAGCTCAACAGACTGTTGGCCATAGATGTTCACCATCAGCATCACTATACCATCTCTGCCTGCCTTCTTCACTTGTCGTTCTGGGGCTGGGAGGCCTTTTTCTTGGGCGATATGCAGCAGGTGTTGCTTGAATAGCTCGTGCTCTTCATATCTTAAGCCTCTCAATGTTTGCCGAAGTGTCCAATGAAGTGATCTTGTGAATTTCTGATGGAGTCAACATAATCAGAGAGTGTTTATGTGCTTCATCTCAACTGTAGACAAAACTTTAGTTCACTGGCATCAACATTAAGTTATGACAGTATTGTCACATCTACATTTCTGAGCTTTTAACCCCTTATGAACCAGGACTCAGTCTGAGATCCTCTGGCAGATCTCCGCTGGCTGTTCCAAGGTCCAGGCTGAAAACTAAAGGGGACAGGGCTTTTGTTGACAGAGCCCCCAGACTTTGGAACAGCCTGCCAGAGGAGATCAGACATGCAGAGTCAGTCCTTCGTTTTAATTCTCTACTTAAGACATTGTTTTACAAAAAAGCTTTTAATCTGTGGTTTCATTTTGAATTTTAATCTTTTATTCTATGAGTCTGCTTTTATTGTCTGTTTGTCTTACTGCCTGTCTGCTGCTTTTATATTCGGTTTGCTTTTATTGTCTGTCATAAAGCACTTTGTTACCTGTATTGAAATGTGCCATACAAATAAAGTATTATTGTAAAAAAAGACCCCTGCCCTTTAAGACTAACAACTCCAGAGGGAGGATTGCACATGTGGAGAAGCTGCAGTAAGAGAGAGAAAGTCAGCATCGAAAGTACAAGTTTTGCAGTCAAGAAGTAAAATTTATGTTTTGGTGAGAGCTGGAGATTGTGCTTCAATAATAGAAGTTCTTTTTGTGTTTATTTCATACTTTTCTTTCTGTTAGCATTACTGGAAATACTTTTAATTTGTTAGCATTCTTTGAGCTATTTGGAAGCTAAATGCATATTGTTTATGTTCATTTAGACAGCATGGTGTAAGAAAGCTGATGTGTGTATTTAGAATTTCTAATGTTTGAATGTGTAGCCAGACAGACAATTCCACAAATCCAGAATTCATAGATTCCTATCATTCAGATTAAAGGAACCTAAAACCCTGATGATTAACCCTTTCTTCAACCACCACACCACAGTTATAACTGACTCTCCACAGTGATTTACACAAACCCATCAGAATCAGTATTCACTCTTTTTCAATTATTATTATTATTTCTCTGCATTTCTACAATTCCCCTAGCAGACGCTTTTATCTAAAGCAACATACATCAGAGAGTAAGTAAAACACAAACAAGGATCTATAAAAAAGGAAACAATGTCAGTAAGAGCAAACAAACAGCTTTAAGTCTGATCAGACACACAGGTGCTGACAGGCAAAGCACAACCTCAACAGCTTATTGTAACAATAAATATCAAGTACCTTAGTCACAGTGACACCATGATGATTTCAGATTTGAAGTTTACTGTAGTGACCAATTTTAACCAATCCAATATTGTCTAAAAAAAAGTCACTTGAGGGATGAATATGGAAGATATTTAGGATTTGTGCTCAGCTCTAAGGATGAAACGATGTCCCACTGCATCCATATGCTAAATAATAGACAAATCTGGTATATTAAATAAAATCAGGCTCATCTCTGACAGGCTGCCAGGGTTGAAAACTATTCATTCACCTGCTACCATCACCTGGAGCACAGAATCAGCTCAGGCTCCACACGGTGTCCAGTAAAGGGACTACACACACACACATACCCAAAGGAAAACTAAAGGGCAAAACATAAACCCACATTTTGGCTCCAACAATTTCTATAAAAACAAAGTATTCTTAAGTGTGTTCTTTTTGTAACATCATCACAACATAGTACTTTTTTTGCCCTCCTTCTTTACCATCTGCAGCTGAAAACCTTTTCCACCACTTTACTATCAAGATGAGAATAATTATGTTCATGTAACAATAAAATGAAATAAATGGAAACCTTGTTGTTTAATGTGTTTCTGATTTTACTTTACTCACTTGATGAGGCAGTTCAGGCTGATGTTTCTCTGAAGAGAAATAAAAAATAAAAAATTAATAAATCTTCACAAACCTTAAAGGGCCATGCTTGACGTCAGCCTCAGATCAGAAATACAATATTTTATTATTTGACATAACAAAGGTCAGTGGCTAATGTTACAATTTTACAATTTCATTTAGCAGACGCAGACGAATAAATCTGGCATTAAACTGAAAAGTCCAGAGGTCTGTACTACGAAGCAGGATTTGGGTTAGCGAGGTAACTTCAGGTTAACCCTGGGTTTTCAGTCCTACGAAGGTGGTTCACTTCTAACCTGGGTATATCACCACGGTAACCTATGCTGCACATCTAACCTGCTGCACACCTAAAAATCTCCGCCACTGAACAGTCAGATCTCTTGATCTTGGAGCTCCCGCAGCTGATCGAGAGAGCGGAGGAGGGAGAGAGACCGACCAACACTTCATGTGTCCCGTATAATTTTACATTTGTCTTGAACTTCTTCTTATTTTTAATTTAGTTCAGAGTTTGTTGGATATAACGATCTGCTGACGGCAGACGCAGTGATGATTGTGATTGGTTAAATTAAGCTAACTCCGCCACTTTTATATGATTGGAAAAATTAACCCACTGGTATAAAACAGGTTTGTTATCTTGTGTAAACAAAATAATTTATTTGTGATCTTGTTACTTTTGTTGTAATTGTGAAATATCAAATATCTTTAAACATAAATGTGTGTAATGTGGCAGTGTTTGTTTTCTTTCTCTCACCTTGAAGTCCTGAGTCTTCCCCATCAGCCTCTCAACTAGATCAGTCCTGTTCATGTCCAATAAAACCTCTTTGGTCACCTCCACAGGCTGCTGGTTCCTCACCATCAGATACACCAGTTCATCTGGAGTTGTTGCCCACTCCATGTCGTGCCACTGGATTCGTGTAAAACTCCTCTGGAAGTATGTGAGCTGCAGCACCCACTTAAATTTCTCAAACTCCTCAAGTTTCAAACCACTCAATGTTTCCGAAAGAACATGTTCCACATCTTCCTTTACCGTCTAAAAATGTCAAAGACAATAAACAAATTAGTCATTTCTCCAATGGTAAAATCAAAAAGGAACATCTCTGGGGATTTAATCAGAGATGTAGGGAAGTTATCGGAATACTTTCTCCATGATCACTCGAGATTAATACAATAGGTAACATTTCTTTTATTGGCTATGTTTACAGGTTTCTTCAAAAACACATTGTTCTTAATGTTTGTATTTTGCTGTAGCAACATAACAGAGAGATCCCTCTATCCCTTCACCCTTAAATCTCTGTTAAACTGAATACAACTACATGATTTAATGCAACATGTGAAATCTTCCACAGCACTTAACATGAAGCATTTCCTTTAAAACACCTGAAATACAGAACTCAAATACTACAGAGCTGAACTTTACAACCAATTATATCCATTTGTTTTGGTTTGTATCATAATTTGCAATGTTCAAAAACTTGGATGTTTTTTAATCTGCATCAGACAAATCAGGCTGTGAAATGTAAAAAACGGACTCACTTTTTCAAAGACTGGAGGTTGATGCTCATCCACTGAGGAGAAAAGACATTTGTGACTACGACGATTATCTTATTTTAATGAGACGTTGATCTACTTTAATAAGGTTCAGCTGCTTTACAAGGTAACAACAACATAACCTAAAGAAATCAAATTCAACAAATGTATTAATCTTATTTATTAAAGATTTGTTTTGTTCTTATTTGTCTTACCTTTGGGTTCTGAGCTAGTCTCTGAAAACATCTGCATGAGATCAACTCTGTGCAACTTCTTTAAAATCTCTCTGGTCTCATCCACAGACTGTCGCCCGTAGGTCTGCACCATCACATCCAATATTGCTGTACGGTCGTTTGAGTATCTCAATAAATGTGGGATGTCTTTGGAGTCCTCTTGAAAGGCCGACAGCAAAAACTTCTTGAATTTCCTGAGCTCCCCATTATTTAAAGAATGCAGGATTTCCAAAAGCAGCTCTTTAACAGCTGCCATTGTTGCTGCCTGGAATAGTTAACACACTCATGGGACATTTGCTTAATCAACTAGGACAATTTTAAATGTGTCTCTTAAGGTGTTGAGCTGGGTGTTTCTGATAGATATTCTTTTTATTATATTGATTATTGTTGAAGGAAAAAGTCAGAAAAAGATTATGTGCTGACATTTCATCTCATAAGCACTGTCAAAGATATTTATGAATCTGCTGCACAACATTACTGCTAAAACGCTCAACCTGAATAAAGCTTCAGCTTTGTGAAAAACAGATTAATTCAAATGTAATCATATTTCATCAAAATGTTCATGTTCATGTGTAAATCAGACAGATGTGAAGTGATTACTCACTTTCTCCAACAGGACAGAGCGTGGTTCATCTGAGCGTTTCTCTGAGGAAAAAAGTGGAAAAAATAACTCATGAGAGATTGATCTTAAACATGACAAAGATGTTATCAGGCAAATAGTTTAGTAATGATTTGTGAGGTACAACATAAGTCAAAAAGATATATTGGTAAACCAACTGATAAGTCTTAATATCTGTGCACTATGAATCTTATTATAAATCATGTAACAGATACAGATGTAACTTAAACACTTGTGAAATAGGTTTAGAGACAGTTTTATGATTTTAAATTATCTTGGTCTTCATGGTCGTACTTTTGAAACTTGAGCTGGTCTCCAACAACTTCTGCACCAGATCAGTTCTGTTCATCTTCTTTAAAATCTTCATTGTCTTCACAACAGAGTTTTGACCAAAAGTCAAAACAGTAACACACGCAGTGTCCTGATGGTTTGTCTGCCCCAGCAAACGAGGGTTGTATGATTTATATGTATTGTAGCCTTCATTTCTGATCAACTGCTTGAATATCTTATACTGGTTTTCTGTTAGGCAAGCTATAATTTCCACAAGCAGTTCTAAAACAGATGTCATCTTTTCCACCTGAAAAATTAAAAGAACATGTTCAAGGTGCAAAAAATGAGTACAGATATTTCTTTTCACATTTCATCAATTGTCTTTTTTAAGACTGACCAACGTACATCTGCCACATGAACAGTGGTTATCATACTATAGTTATGTTTACATTCAAGTACTTTACTTTTTTTACAAACAGCTTATATTTCTGCATTGAGTAACATACGGTTGTTACCTTTGATTTTCTTTTTTAAGATTTATTTTTGGGCTTTTTGTACCTTTAATAGATAGACAGGACAGTGGATAGAGTCAGAAATCAGGGAGAGAGAGAGAGTGGGGAATGAGGGAAAGGAGCCACAGGTCGGATTTCAACCTGGGTCACCCACTTGGAGGACTACAGCCTCCGTACATGGGGCGATTGACAGAGGATTGATTTCTGCTACATTTAAGTGTGAAAAATTGCATATTAAGCCTTTTAAGGAAGAATGTGTGACATTTTACACATAAATACAGCAGAAATCAAGTATATCCTGTAAATGTCTGTTTGAGTTGTGACTGTCTGCAATGAGTGAGAAGCTCGAGTCCTGCTGGCTGTGTTGTTGTCGGGTTGTGTTTACATCATGTTTACATGGACGGGACGGCCTTGTGCATAAAGCTGTTTAAGTCGAGGTCGAGAGAAAAGAAGAAGAATTTACTCACTGCTTATTTGGATTTCAAGTAAGTGTGTTTAGATCATGGTCATTCTGTGTCAATTTATGTTTAATGTGAAGCTACGAACTAAGTAAAGTGTGCTAACATTAGCCTGCTAACACAACAATGCAGACCACAGGCAAGTGCAGCTCGAGCAAAGGACAAGTTTGTCCGCCACTTGCACTTAGTGGTTGTTAATGCTTTGAATTGCCCCCGGGGAGAAGTAACGTTTTTTTAATTTAATTCTTTTTTTTTTTATGTTGCGTTCTAATTCCTAACCCCTTCATGGGAGGCGAGTGGAGAGGTGTCGTAGGTGTGCTGCTGGAGGAGAGCAGAGGATTCAGAATGGCAGAGATGTTGCCAAACAGCAGTTTGTTTTGGTTTAATGCTGGTGCTCAAGGACGACATCTACTGGATAAAGAAAGTCGCACATTCATCCTTTAAATTGGATCTTCCTTTTGAGTACTTAGAGAAATAAACTAAGATTTAAATGTTTTAATCTCTTTTTAAAGTAAAATAAATAAATAAATATTCAGGAATATAACATCATATAACATGTGATACCTAAATGTAAGGAGTTAAAGAAGATATGATTAGTGGAGATATAAAGGGAAAATAAATGCTATTGATTCAGTGTACTTTGCTTTATCAGCTCTTTGAGAAAATATTGATTAAAACAGCTCAATGTTACTTAAAGGATCATATTTTTTATCAGCATTAAATAAATAATGTTCGTTTTTGTACCTTTAATTGAAATGTTCGAGGTGGACTCTATAATAGTGACGCTGTGTGAAGTCAGAGTGATGTGACATACTCACCCTCTGGGTCAGTGAAAGCGGCTCTTCATCCATAGAGTGTTCTTCTGAGGAAAAAATAAATGCAAAAGAAAACCAATTTTATTTCTATCCCTCTTCCTGCATCTCCCTCCCTCCCACTTTCCAAACCCAACACAGATTCAGCAGACGGCTGTTCATCATGAGTCTGGTTCAGCTCGAGGTTTCTGCCTCTTAAACGATTTTTACCTTTCCACTGTAACTTTGCTAATTCAAATCAATTGAAAAAACTTTATTTTAGCCCCGGGGGACAATTCAAAGGCACACAGAGCAGTAAATGTTTCTTAGTGCTCGTGATGGATTAATGTTGGGTCTTTGTAGATAATATAGCAAAGAGTAAGGTCAGTGTTTCCCCTACCATTATATTAGGGGGGTGGCCCGCCCCCCCAACGCCCCCCCGCCACCCCGACATAACAAAGGTCAGTGGCTAATGTTACAATTTTACAATTTCATTTAGCAGACGCAGGCGAATAAATCTGGCATTAAACTGAAAAGTCCAGAGGTCTGTACTACGAAGCAGGATTTGGGTTAGCGAGGTAACTTCAGGGTTAACCCTGGGTTTTCAGTCCTACGAAGGTGGTTCACTTCTAACCTGGGTATATCACCACGGTAACCTATGCTGCACATCTAACCTGCTGCACACCTAAAAATCTCCGCCACTGAACAGTCAGATCTCTTGATCTTGGAGCTCCCGCAGCTGATCGAGAGAGCGGAGGAGGGAGAGAGACCGACCAACACTTCATGTGTCCCGTATGATTTTACATTTGTCTTGAAATTCTTCTTATTTTCAATTTAGTTCAGAGTTTGTTGGATATAACGATCTGCTGACGGCAGACGCAGTGATGATTGTGATTGGTTAAATTAAGCTAACTCCGCCACTTTTATATGATTGGAATAATTAAACCACTGGTATAAAACAGGTTTGTTATCTTGTGTAAACAAAATAATTTATTTGTGATCTCGTTACTTTTGTTGTAATTGTGAAATATCAAATATCTTTAAACATAAATGTGTGTAATGTGGCAGTGTTTGTTTTCTTTCTCTCACCTTGAAGTCCTGAGTCTGTCCCCATCAGCCTCTCAACTAGATCAGTCCTGTTCATGTCCAATAAAACCTCTTTGGTCACCTCCACAGGCTGCTGGTTCCTCACCATCAGATACACCAGTTCATCTGGAGTTGTTGCCCACTCCATGTCGTGCCACTGGATTCGTGTAAAACTCCTCTGGAAGTATGTGAGCTGCAGCACCCACTTAAATTTCTCAAACTCCTCAAGTTTCAAACCACTCAGTGTTTCCGAAAGAACATGTTCCACATCTTCCTTTACCGTCTAAAAATGTCAAAGACAATAAACAAATTAGTCATTTCTCCAATGGTAAAATCAAAAAGGAACATCTCTGGGGATTTAATCAGAGATGTAGGGAAGTTATCGGAATACTTTCTCCATGATCACTTCGAGATTAATACAACAGGTAAAATTATTTTATTGGCTATGTTTAACAGGTTTTTAAAAAAATTTTTTAAGTTTGTATTTTGCTGTAGCAACATAACATAGAAGATCCCCTCTATCCTTCACCCTTAAATCTCTGTTAAACTGAATACAACTACATGATTTAATGCAACATGTGAAATCTTCCACAGCACTTAACATGAAGCATTTCCTTTAAAACACCTGAAATACAGAACTCAAATACTACAGAGCTGAACTTTACAACCAATTATAGCCATTTGTTTTGGTTTGTATCATAATTTGCAATGTTCAAAGACTTGGATGTTTTTTAATCTGCATCAGACAAATCAGGCTGTGAAATGTAAAAAACGGACTCACTTTTTCAAAGACTGGAGGTTGATGCTCATCCACTGAGGAGAAAAGACATTTGTGACTACGACGATTACTTATTTTAATGAGACGTTGATCTACTTTAATAAGGTTCAGCTGCTTTACAAGGTAACAACAACATAGCCTAAAGAAATCAAATTCAACAAATGTATTAATCTTATTTATTAAAGATTTGTTTTGTTCTTATTTGTCTTACCTTTGGGTTCTGAGCTAGTCTCTGAAAACATCTGCATGAGATCAACTCTGTGCAACTTCTTTAAAATCTCTCTGGTCTCATCCACAGACTGTCGCCCGTAGGTCTGCACCATCACATCCAATATTGCTGTACGGTCGTTTGAGTATCTCAATAAATGTGGGATGTCTTTGGAGTCCTTTTGAAAGGCCAACAGCAGAAACTTTGAATTTCTGAGCTCCCGTCATTTAAAGAATGCAGGATTTCCAAAAGCAGCTCTTTAACAGCTGCCATTGTTGCTGCCTGGAATAGTTAACACACTCATGGGACATTTGCTTAATCAACTAGGACAATTTTAAATGTGTCACTTAAGGTGTTGAGCTGGGTGTTTCTGACAGATATTCTTTTTATTATATTGATTATTGTTGAAGGAAAAAGTCAGAAAAAGATTATGTGCTGACATTTCATCTCATAAGCACTGTCAAAGATATTTATGAATCTGCTGCACAACATTACTGCTAAAACGCTCAACCTGAATAAAGCTTCAGCTTTGTGAAAAACAGATTAATTCAAATTTAATCAATTTCATCAAAATGTTCATGTTCATGTGTAAATCAGACAGATGTGAAGTGATTACTCACTTTCTCCAACAGGACAGAGCGTGGTTCATCTGAGCGTTTCTCTTAGGAAAAAAGTGGAAAAAATAACTCATGAGAGATTGATCTTAAACATGACAAAGATGTTATCAGGCAAATAGTTTAGTAATGATTTGTGAGGTACAACATAAGTCAAAAAGATATATTGGTAAACCAACTGATAAGTCTTAATATCTGTGCACTATGAATCTTATTATAAATCATGTAACATATACAGATGTAACTTAAACACTTGTGAAATAGGTTTAGAGACAGTTTTATGATTTTAAATTATCTTGGTCTTCATGGTCATACTTTTGAAACTTGAGCTGGTCTCCAACAACTTCTGCACCAGATCAGTTCTGTTCATCTTCTTTAAAATCTTCATCGTCTTCACAACAGAGTTTTGCCAAAAGTCAAACTGTAACACACGCAGTGTCCTGATGGTTTGTCTGCCACAGCAAACGAGGGTTGTATGATTTATATGTTTGTGCCTTCATTTCTGATCAACTGCTTGAATTCCTCATACTGGTTTCTGTTAGGCAAGCCATAATTTCCACAAGCAGTTCTATAACAGATGTCATCTTTTCCACCTGAAAAATTAAAAGAACATGTTCAAGGTGCAAAAAATGAGTACAGATATTTCTTTTCACATTTCATCAATTGTCTTTTTTAAGACTGACCAACGTACATCTGCCACATGAACAGAGGTTATCATACTATAGTTATGTTTACATTCAAGTACTTTACTTTTTTTACAAACAGCTTATATTTCTGCATTGAGTAACATACGGTTGTTACCTTTGATTTTTCTTTTTAAGATTTATTTTTGGGCTTTTTGTACCTTTAATAGATAGACAGGACAGTGGATAGAGTCAGAAATCAGGAGAGAGAGAGAGTGGGGAATGAGGGAAAGGAGCCACAGGTCGGATTTGAACCTGGGTCGCCCACTTGGAGACCAAAGCCTCCATACATGTAGGGCTGCGTGCACTAACCACTTACCTTTAATTTTCTATTAAGTTTTTGTTTAATTCTAATTCCATGGTGTACATGTGTCTAAATCTGTGCAATGAAAATCAGATAACTATGAATCTTCAAGAGAGTGTCTGTTAAAGGGCGGAGCAAGGGGTGGCCAGCCCAGGAGGACCTATGTTTAATTATCTATTTGTGCTGATAGTAGTATGTGCACTTTCTTTTATGTCAATGTAACACATTTCATTTTGCTAGTATTTTAAAAGCAGAAAATGCCATTTTTTTGATCCAGCAGATGTCGCCTTTGAGCACCAGCATGAAACCAAAACAACTTGCGCTGCATTGTTGTGTTAGCATGCTAATGCTAGCGATTTTTATTATGATCGTATCTTCACACTGCATGTAAATTTACCTACATGATCTAGAAACGTAGTTAAGCAGTGAGTACAGTATGTTATTCTTCTTTTCTCTAGTCCCTCAATTAAACAACTTTTATACGCGAGGGATGAGTCGCCGGCCGTCCCGCGATGTAAAAAACTGAAGATAGGACTCGGAAAACATCACAGACAGCGGGACTCGGGTGTTACACCCATTGTAGACAGTCATGACTCACAGAGTTATTTTCAGAGGATTGATTTCTGCTACATTTAAGTGTGAAAAATTGCATATTAAGCCTTTTAAGGAAGAATGTGTGACATTTTACACATAAATACAGCAGAAATCAAGTATATCCTGTAAATGTCTGTTTGAGTTGTGACTGTCTGCAATGAGTGAGAAGCTCGAGTCCTGCTGGCTGTGTTGTTGTCGGGGTTGTGTTTACATCATGTTTACATCATGTTTACATGGACGGGACGGCCTTGTGCATAAAGCTGTTTAAGTCGAGGTCGAGAGAAAAGAAGAAGAATTTACTCACTGCTTATTTGGATTTCAAGTAAGTGTGTTTAGTTCTCGGTCATTCTGTGTCAATTTATGTTTAATGTGAAACTACGAGCTAAGTAAAGTGTGCTAACATTAGCTTGCTAACACAACAATGCAGACCACAGGCAACTGCAGCTCGAGCAAAGGACAAGTTTGTCCGCCACTTGCACTTAGTGGTTGTTAATGCTTTGAATTGCCCCCGGGGACAAGTAACGTTTTTTTAATTTAATTCTTTTTTTTTTTATGTTGCGTTCTAATTCATAACCCCTTCATGGGAGGCGAGTGGAGAGGTGTCGTAGGTGTGCTGCTGGAGGAGAGCAGAGGATTCAGAATAGCAGAGATGTTGCCAAACAGCAGTTTGTTTTGGTTTAATGCTGGTGCTCAAGGACGACATCTACTGGATAAAGAAAGTCGCACATTCATCCTTTAAATTGGATCTTCCTTTTGAGTGCTTAGAGAAATAAACTAAGATTTAAATGTTTTAATCTCTTTTTAAAGTAAAATAAAAAAAATATTCAGGAATATAATCATATAATGTGAACTTAAATGTAAGGAGTTAAAGAAGATATGATTAGTGGAGATAAGAAAGGGAAAATAAATGCGTTTATTCAGAGAAAAGAAGAAACACCTCACTGCTTATGTGGATTTCACCTAAGTGTCTTTAGATCACCTTCATTCTGTCAATTTATGTGCAGTATGAAGCTACGAGTTAACCAAAGTGTGGCTAACATTAGCCTGCTAAAAACAATGCAGATTCGAAGATAGAATATTTAAATGTTTTAATGTTTTTTTAAGCAAAATAAATAAATAAATATTCAGGAATATAACATTCATATAACATGTGATACTTAAATGTAAGTAGTTAAAGAAGATATGATTAGTGGAGATATAAAGGGAAAATAAATGCTATTGATTCAGTGTACTTTGCTTTTATCAGCTCTTTGAGAAATATTGATTAAAACAGTCAATGTTACTTAAAGGATCATATTTTTTATCAGCATAAATAAATAACGTTAGTTTTTGTACCTTAATTG